AGGAGACACTCCCCTGGATATTCCCTCTGTGGAGCCAGCGCAGCAGTCTGCTGGGAGCGCTGATCGAGAGCATGCAGCAGCCGTGCTGCCTCTCTGCGCTTCTCTCATGCTGCTCCGTGTCTGCTCTTATAGCCGATCCCTGGTGTGGGCATCTGGCATCATTTCCCCATGCTTCTCCAGCTTTACCGATAGCTTGCTTAAAAATTGAACAGGTGGCATTGAGTGCTGCTCTGCAGCTGCACCTGAAGCAGGTAAGCTTGTTCTGGTTCCAGCCCTCATCAGGCTATTTCACATCCCTCCGACATCACTCAAGCCCCGAAGCCAAGGCTTCCATCCCCCAGGACCTGTTGCACCGTGACACAGAGGTTGCCAACCTTTTGCAAGCTGACCTTTGTGACCCAGCCCCTGCCATGGGCCTGCAAGTCTCTGCTTCCAGAGTGGCCAACTGCCTGTGCTTACCCTCATTACTACAGAACTACTGAAATGGCGGAAACAAAAAAAGAAAAAGCTTACTGAAAATAAAATGCTGATTCCCCAGAGGTAGCCAGCAGTCTTCACCATGCTGTGACCCTGCTACACAGCCTGTGGAGGGGATGAGGAGGAAGGGTGTCCACACACATGGTGGGCAACCCAAGGTGGCTGCTGTCCCTGCCCCACAGCATTAATTGACTGGGAGGGTTGTCTGTCATATGACCCCATTCCTCTGCAGCAATCAGTGACGAGGGCCAGGGCCTTATGACAGACAGCCCTCCCAGCCAATCAGCAGTGAGGGGTGGGGTTATACGGGCCCTTTGGCCAATCAGGCGTTGCAGGCGAGGGTGCTGTGAAATGGCTGCTGGGCTTACGTTTTTGCTGCGAAATTAGCTGGCAGCCACCTTGAGTTCAGTAGGTCCCTACTCATATCCTCTCTGCAGTGGTGGCAAGCTCAGCTGGGATGGAGCAGCAAGCTCCACAGCAGAGGGAAGCACTGTGGTGGAGAAGATGGGCTGGGTGGCACAGCTCTGCCACCAGTCCCCTTGTGGCAGATCAGACTCCTCCAGCCTACAGGCCATAGGTTGCTGACACCTGTTGTATTCTGTGTTTCCACTCTATGGCCTCATGTTTTCTTGCAGTGTAAAAAAAAAAATTAAAAAAAATTCCCAAATTAATTGCTACACAAGTGAAATAGCTAGTTGAGTATTGCAAAATTTTATTTCCACTAGGGCATGGCTGTGTTTTAACAGGCAGGTTAAATGTTAATTATAAACAACACATTAATTTTATCTTAATTTGTGCCTTCATCATGAATTTGCATTCTGATACAGTCTTTATTACATGATCACATATTATTTTCCACTGCATTCAGTGTACACGAGAGACACCTAACTCACCTCCATGAGCTCTAGTTCTCTCCATTGCTTACTGTGTGACACAGGCATGGACAGAACGAGGTTCTTCAGTAGCATTCAGCTGCAGTCCCCTTCTCCACCCCACATCTTCCAGCTTATGCAACAGTGCCATAATGCATATGCTCAAGGAGCAATATGAAGTTTGCGCAGGCAGTTCTGGCATTGCCTAACTGAAGCACCTGATTTTGCAACCACAATTTTCCGTATTGTGTGTGTGTAATTTTCGTAAGGTTATTTGTGAGGTTTTTTTTAAAACAAACTAAAAAATCAAATATTCTATCATGTAATATAGGGATGGGCAAAATGGTGGATATGGCCAGACTCCATTTTCCATGAGCCCCTGCCCGCATCACTGCGGTCAGTTTCCATAGAGACCCCAGCAGTAGTGGGGTTGTGACAGCGCAGGACCAGAGTTTCCATGGTGACCACCCCAGCAGAACTGGCAGGGTATGGCTGAGCAGAGACCTGCTCTGGGGCTGAGATCTTGCATTGGTGACAGCATGGTCTGGAGCCATAGCTGGCTGCTCAGCCCTGCCACTGCTAGGATCTCCATGGAAACTGGCCACAGCTACCTGGGCAGGGGCTCCTGGGAAATGAAGTTTGGCATGGGCCTAGTCCGGCCCACGGGTTGGACTTGCCCACCCCAATGTAGCATCTTGCTGACATGTATGAGTTGTCACCAGGGCTACCACACAAATTTCTGCCAAACTGATAGCAGTTGTAAGTCATAGTCCTCTGTATGAGCTAGAAGTAGAGAGAGCTGGGAAATGTTTGTGTTCTGTGGGCATCTGATGACAGCAGAGGAATGGTGATTCCTCTTGGGTTCCATTCCAGGCTCTGGAGTGGTGTGTAGTCTAGTGCAGGGATGGACAACCTGAAGCACACATGCCACAAATGACATGGGTACAGCTTCTGTGCATGGCAGCAGGCCAGGGAGGGAGCAGAGCAGCAGGTTGGGCAAGGAAGGGGATAAGCGTGGCACTTGTGAAGGGCATGGGGCTTATCTTGTGGCCCCCATTGTGCTAGCTCATTCAGCCTCTTTTACTTGTTTCACTCAAGCTTGCCACTTTTGTCCTGTGTCCTATAAAATGTCCTTGCCCCTTTATTCCAGTTTTTTATCCTCCACATAGGCTCCGGTCCCCATCCCTTGCCCTGTTTTCTCTCATTCCTTGTACTATATGTCCAGCCATTCTCAGTTCCATATGCCCCGGCTTCTTGTATCTGCCAAGAAACTTACCTTTCTATGAATACAGCTTTATAGACTTCTGTTGTCATTATGTATGCTGTTGCAATGTGCTGCATCTGTTGTTGTTTGAACCCTTGCTATGCCAGCTTGCAAATAACTTTGATTAGTAACAACAGTTGAAATATACAGAGCCATCTACAGTAGATGGTTGTACAGCTTCTTTTACAAGGTTCAGGTGAATACTGAAAATAAATAGTGAGGTCCAGTAGAGGCCACATAAATTAGTGACACTATCCCAGAAAAAAGCAAAAACATGTATTAATTCAGTGAATGAAGGCTACATTAAAACTAGAGTTGTGTGATTAATCATGTGGGTTCCGAAGATCCACCAGCTAATTGTTCCAGAGTACAGACAGAGACTGACTGTCCTGTAATGTCTCTGAGTTCCATGTTTCTTATTTTGTCAACAGTCTACCTGTTAAATTATCCTTTCTAGGACTTAATACAGGTTCCCCTTGCTTTATGCTGTATATGTGTTCCTGGAAAACAGCACATGACTTGAATTCACATAAAGGGAACCTATTTTACAATGTGATGAATAGGGATATGTTCCAGGACCTTGATTGTACTGACCCCTAGACCCATTTCTACCACTTTTACAAAGCAATTTTGGTACTTACCAACAGCAGACAGTACACACAAGCACAGGGTGGTGGTGATGTTGCGCAATTTACCAATTGCTTAAAATGACAAGCGAGACTTATAAGCAAGATGCTGCGTTTATTGATTAGAATATTCAAAAGAGCACTCGTACATTCATACACACACTCACTCCCAATTACTCTGCAGATGTTATAGTTACCAAAGTCCATTGTTCAGTACAACACTAGGTGGCCAGCCCAGGAGTGCAAGATAAGGAGCGGGGCCTTGTCAGATATGTGTCTATGCTCCAATGAAGTATGTAGAGTGTTACCCAACCTCTTGCTGTTAAGTCTCTCCCCTTCATAGGGCCTCAAATTGGTGTTGAGTGACTGGTTCCGCCTTTCATGACTTCATGCCTTCTTTGTTTGAACCCCAGTAATTTTTATGTCTGGCAAACAGATGAGTTTACTCTGCAACCTTCTGAGTGTTGTCCTTCAGAGCATCTCTTATCTCCTTGCTGTGTCTGTTATGAGCGGTGTCTTCAGCCTCTCCTTGGAATTCTTCAGTCTTTTACTAACCTGTTTTTCTGTACATTGTTCTTTCAGTATTTTTCCATTCACTTCACACTCATTCATCTGTATATGCAAACTATAGTCTTACAAAAAGCAATTGTTATTCATCATTTATACGCTATGATAACTATCTCAAATTGCTACATTGAATGTTACCATAATAGGGATGGCAATTACAGAAACACATATCGCAGACAATGAGTGAGGAGCACAGATCCACACAGGATGTTTTAGTGCATGTCACTCCCACAATGCACCACACAAAGCAGCTTACCACAGGCTTCCACCACACCAATCACGAAAGAGTGAATTTACCTCACATATAACAAAGTTTTGGTATAAAAAGGGTCAACGCATAAGAGCAAATTTGCACATACAGAACCCACATAAAGCGAGGGAAACCTGTATCTTAAAAAAAAAAAAATACTGTCCTTCTAGCTAGGTCTTTGTGACATACTGACAGAGAGTATCTCAGATAATAATGGAGACATATTTCAGAAGCCAGCTCTGAAAGACTGTTTCCTCTCTGGAAAGAGGAAAATTTGACCAGCGACAGTAGGGAACAACTTCTGTACTCCTGTGTAGTAATACTATGCTGTTCTAATGTTAGTAAGCTTGTCTTAGTGTTACTCCAGGGACTTTGCATGACTACTCATTTCACAAATAAGGAAGCAATGAGGTCACATAACAGCATATTGAAAGGTAGAAAGAGCAGTGGATGCTATCGTTGGCTCTGTTTAGCACCCACAACACTTTAAAACCTTGAAGGCCTTGCACAAAATAGCCTACGTATGCTACAAAAGCCAATTTGTTGTGCCTTTTTGTAATGCTTAACCACCTAAATATGGGCCAGAGATTTATGAACAGGGCTGTTAATAAACTTGAATGTATGGTAATGAAATTATCAAGGTATTTTCTAAAGATATATACTAAAAAAGAGTCCCCGGCAAAAAGCCTTGTCTTTCACTTTTTTGCAGGAGGAATTTTGGATGAAAAAGCATTCAGGTTTAGTATTTGCTTTGGCTTCTATAGTACACAGCAAGGCTTATTTAAAAAAAAAATAAACAAAAGAAATGTAAAAGCCCCAAATCTTAATATAGTAACCCATGAATACACACAGACTTTATTCTAATGTACTGGCTTTTTGGCTCTTTTGGATTTATCTAGAATTTGTTAACACTTTTTTTTTCCTCTGCTCCTCTTTGACTTTAGTTGTGGATGGATTTCTAAAAACGGATGAAAGACAAAGATTAGCAAAGGAAAGAAGGGAAGAAAGAGAAAAATACCTTGGTAAGTTGACCTATGCCATATTTTGAATAGCTGTATATATTAGTAGGTTTTACATTATGAGCAGGAATATCATCACACTTTAAAATATACAATACATAAATAACAATCAATTTAAGAAGCCATTAATTTCAATAAAGCAATAATTTTCAGTATTATTCATGCATTATTTAAGTAATGGAATATTATAATAATTATAACAACATATAATATTATGGTCCAGTTTGCTTTTGTATTTTGTCACCTTGAAAAAATTTAAATCCTGCTAAATTGTAGAGAAATCTAATTCTGGTGTTAAAGGGACAGAGTGTATAATCAAGGACTCTTCCAGTTGATTTCTAGGTACAACAGTAAATAACTTTTATCTCAGATAAATGTGCTGTTAAATATTATGACAGGCTATACATGTGATAGATTGGCTTTTGTGATGTTGGAATGTACATCTCTAATTAAAAAAATCTTTAAATAATATTTAAAGTGGTAGATTGATTTTTTTTCAATTTTTTAATTCTAATTTTAGTTGATTTTTATTTTAATTAATGCTGAGTTGCTAAAAGTGGCAAAACGAGATTTCTTCCCTATCTCAAGGATTACTTATCTTTCTCATCGCTTGCAAGTAAATGAAAATGCATACATACATTAACAACGGGCCAGGAAGAGAGACACCCCCCCCCCCCCCCCCCCACTATCCCACAGTGCTCTGCTCTCCCTGCACTCCTCCCTGGGAGGTAAGGAAAGAAAGGAGAGCAGCTGGCTTCCAGATAGACCACACACAGCAAGAAGCTGTCACTGGAGGACTGGTTTACAAGCAGCCCTGTCCCTGTTGCTATGCTTAGAAAGTAGAAACCCCTGGGCAGCTCCTGCTATTTGGGGCAGTTCACTTGCAGCCCTAAGCCCGCTGGAATCTTCTTCAGGCATCCGGGGACTGGGAAAGTCTTCAGAGGTCTCTTTGTTCAGCTGCTGCCATGGTGGCAAGCCTGTCAGTGAGCTCACAGATAGGGTCCCCTGCTAGGAACAGCCTTTATTGCTGCCTGTCTGGAGAATGTCCTTTCCAGCACACTCCAGCCACAAGGGCTGTGCACATGCACCTGTCCATAGCGCTCTATTGTAGTGTTACAAAAAAAGCATCCGTCAGAGGCCTTAGAGCCCCTAGATTAAGTGGAAGAACAAGATTTATACATATTTTCATATCTGCAGCACTGCTTGATTCTCTTTCCAACATCATTCAGATGTCATCTTCATTACTGCAGTGGACAGTCACTTCTTAGCTCAACATCCTGACACTTTGGTTCTTTGTTTCTATATAGTCATTCTGTTTTCATATGTTCTGCTTCCTTTGTCTGCTAGTTATTAAACAGTAATAACTAGTCATCATTGCATCTCCAAGATAACTCTTCATTGTTGACAGTCCTTGTTAATTTTTTCATGCTAACCCAGACTTGCCAGTGTGTTGAACACCATTTTTCATTCCCCTATTCCACCAGACTCATTCAGTCCTAGCAGTTCACAATACCCAGGTAAAAGTTTAAGCTGTGTTGCACAAACTTTTTATAAAATGGCATAGACATTTCCCGTATTCCCCAAAGGGGAAGCTGGGGATTGGGGAGATGGATCTGACAAGAAGCCGAGTTCAGGAGAGTGGTGGGACAGGTTGGGCAAGGCATTGGGTATAGAGCTCTAAAACTGAACAAGGAGGCAGAGCAGGCCTAGAAATCAGTGGGGACAGGGAGTGAGGAAAGGATGATTGGAGGTCTCGGCTGGGGGCAGATCAGATAAGGAGACAGGAGTGCATGGAATCATAGAAAAAAAGGGCTGGAAGGGACCTCCAGAGTTCATCTAGTCCAACTCCCTGGCTGAAGTAGGATCATCTCTATCCAAACCAGCCTGTACAAATCCATTGTCTAACCTATTAGCAAAACTATAGTCAATCCCGACACACACACACAAGACATAACAATCTAATCTGCTACAGGTGAATCGGGGACCACAGTGGCCAGCATCCCATTGCTGTGAAAGTTGATAAAATACAAAGTGTTGCTTTGACCCTAAGCAAAGTGGCAAGACCTTCTAGCCAGGAGCCTCTGGGTTTAAGTTCCAGCAAGAGCTTTTGCATATTCCAGTCAGTGAGATGAGGTACCGGGACTGAGTGGGGAAGGAGACTAAGGAGAAAGCACAGGGAGGACGGAAGGGGTGGAACCGTGAAGGGACCTCGGAAGATCATCGAGTCCAGCCCCCTGCCCAAAGGGCAGGAAGTCAGCTGGGGTCATAGGATCCCAGCAAGATGAGCATCCAGTTTCATCTTGAAGGTGTTCAATGAAGGCGCTTGAACCACCTCTGGTGGCAGGCTGTTCCAGACCTTGGGGGCTCGGACAGTAAAGAAATTCTTCCTTATGTCCAGCCTGAAATGATCTTGAAGTAGTTTGTGACCATTTGACCTCGTCATCCCTTGGGGCGCTCTGGTGAACAAACGTTCCCCCAGATACTGGTGGTCACCCCTGATAAACTTGTAGGTGGCCATCAGATCACCCCTGAGCCTGCGCTTTTTCAGGCTAAAGAGCCCCAGGGCTCTCAGCCTGTCATCGTAGGGTCTGCTTCCCTGACCTCTGATCATGCGCGTGGCTCTTCTCTGGACTCTCTCAAGCTTCTCCACATCCGTTTTGAATTGTGGAGCCCAAAACTGGACACAGTACTCCAGCTGCGGCCTCGTACAAATGACGTCCCGGGATTTGCTTGAGAAGCATCTATGGATGCAAGCCAGCGTTTTGGTCGCTTTACTAGCCG